GAGCTGTTATTATTAGCAGATGTTAATTAGTTTTATTTTGATTCGTAAAAATCAAGTATACAAATATGTTGTTATATTTGTATTTAATACAGAACAGAACAGAACAGAAATTTTATTTTCTAGACTTATACAAAGTACATCGTCTTGTTAACATGTATATAATAATATATACAACATAATCACATAAATATATGTATGGCGTGTCATTATAATAAATATAAACATAACAATTACAAGCACCAAATTCATGAGAGGATAAACTGCAATTGAGAGTTCAAAATTGAATTTCTTAGATTCAAAGCTTCTTTGATATATTTGCAAACATTTATTAATATTTTTTTATTTTTAATACACAATAATTCAGTAAATTTAAACATAGATGGTCTGTTATAATAGTAACTTTTTATATATTTTTTACGTAAATCTACAAAACTTGAACACACACATATAAAATGATACTCATCCTCTATATCTAAAACATTACAGCACTGACAGTTTCGTTGTTCACGGGGAATGTTATTAGTGGCATACCTTCCTGTTTGTATTTTGAGAGGATGAACAGATAGTCTTAATCGACAAAAATACATTCTAAATTTACGTGGTAAAATGTCAAGATATTTTTCGTTACTAAGACACGATTTAAAATGTTTGTAATTACATAAAACAGAACTTCGATCTAGGATACTGGCCCATTCTTGTTTATACTCTACTTTTAAAATTTTGAAGAAACAATTTAGGATCTATATAATTATCACTATCAAAAATATCAGCAAAACCATAATCACATAACAACTTCTTCACATTTGAGACCCAATTTTTACACCCTCTTTTACATTCAAATACACCTTCTCTATACATTGTATTTAAAATGATATTATCCGAGTTTTTCAACTTGCACCAAAATTTAATTATTCTAACGTAACGGGACACATATAATGGATATCTTCCTAATTCACCATAAACAGCAGCAGAACAAGTATTAGGTCTTACATTTAATAATCGTTTGCAAAATTTTAAATGAATTCTTTCTATTTCTTTAGATTTTGTGTACCCCCATATTTCAGATCCATAACCTAAGATTGAGCCTACAAATGCATCAAATAACTGGCATAATATTTTTGGTTTTAAATCAAATTTCTTACAGTTATAAAATAAAACATTTAGAGCCTTTAATGCTTTCCCTATTAAATGTTCCTGAGTAAGTGTGAAATTAATAGTATAGTTAAAAACAGTACCCAGGTAGTTAAAATCATTTACAATATCTAAGATTTGGCCGTCGTAGGTCCAGTGTTCTGTGGGTAGAAGTCCTCCACGCTTTCTAAAAACCATTACTTTAGTTTTAGTAGTATTTACCTTGAGACCCCAAGTATTTCAATATGAATATAAAAGATCTAAATTATTTTGAAGTTCTATTGGTGACTTGCCCACGATGGCCATATCATCAGCAACTAATAATAAAATCAATATAACATCATCAAATGTCAAACCAGTTTCAATGTTGTCTTGCAAATAAAGTTCCAAATCCTCAAGAAAGAGAGAAAATAAAATTGGAGAAATTACCTCCCCTTGACGTAGGCCAATGGCGTAATTGAAATAATCAGAATAACTAGAACATGACTTAACACATGATTTTACATTTTGGTACATATCTCTAATTATTCTTAACATTTTACCTTGGATAACTATTTTATACATTTTGAGCCATAATGCGTTTCTGTAAATACTATCAAAACATTTCATCAAATCAACAAAAACTACATATAAACGTTTATTTTGATTTAAATATTTTTGGAATAAAGACAAAAGAATAAATATAGCATCCATTGTAGAACGCCCTTTTCGAAAACCGAATTGAGCATCAGATATAATATTATTACTTTCACAAAAAATTTCAATTCTATTATTAAGCACAGTGGTAAATAATTTTGAAAGACAGCTATCTAATGTTATGCCTCTATAATTGTTAACATCCTCAGTACTACCCTTCTGATGCAAAGGTATAATAATTCCCTCAGTCCATTTCTCTGGATAAAAACCCGAATTTAAAATAGTATTAAATATATCACACAAATGCGTACCTATTATATCAAAACCTTCTATGAAATATTCATTCATTAAATAATCACTACCTAAAGATTTGCCCCTTTTCAATAATTTAACAGTTTTGAAATTTCCTCTAAAGTTATTTGTTTATCTAATTCTTCAAATGGAGTATTCAAGTCATTAAAAGAATGGCTTTCACAAAAATTTTCCGCATCAATATTTGTACAGTTAAATAAATCACTACTTATGCTCTCAAAATATTCCTTAAATACATGTACAGGGATACCGCTATGTTTTGAACTGGATTTACTCTTAAAATATTTCCAAAATTGTTTTGGATTACTATGCTTTAAATTTTCTAATTCAGACATTTTTTAATAACTTCATGTAAATAGCATGTACATTGTGATATTATTTTCACAAAATTGCAGGTTCAGTTTTACAGCTTGTCCCTTACCTTTATTAGCAATACTAAAACCCGGATTTCGAATATCGTTGTAGTCTACATTGATGCCGTTTTCATTTTCATTCATTTATATATTTTCAAAATTTTCCTACAAGAAGAACGTTCACCTGCAAATGATTATTAGGATAGGAATGCAACTGTTGTAAATGATTATCCTATTGATTTTATGCATATTACGTTAATCTACTGCACATAATGATTGTTTCTACAAAGTGTACCAGTATCCGGATGTTGAAAACTAACCGATGTCCTGCAATTACTGCTGTCACATGACCATCTAACTTTTAATGAATACTTACTACCATTTCCACACGTGCCGTGTGGCGGCTGTAAAAAGTCTCCCCGTACATTTAATCAATGATGTTATATTTTCGATCCTTGAAGATCGTTCAGCACGACATTATTGCTGTGTTTGTGGTATTCTTAGTTTCAACTTTTCGGCATTTTCTAGTTGGGTGGTTCCAATATTCCTTCTTGAATAATGTTGAATCACACTTAGGATATGTTGCCAGCTTTTTAAATTTATCTTTTGACGTCTTATCTGTGATACACAGGCTTCATAACCTCTGATCCCCTTTCAAAATATCATTTTATTTAGTTCCGCCCATTGTTTTCTCGTTTAGGGCACACGCTTTTTATTACTTGGGGACCATACGCCGCTTTTCATGGAATGGCACGGAAGTGTCACATTGAAGGTTTCATGAAAACCACCGTATGTACACATCTGCGCATGTTTCTAAATTCAAAAGTTTACTATTTCATTTTTAAATGTTGAATTCTGCTTAGGCCGGTGCTGGGGGGCGTGGACGGTACCTTGCACTTTCCAGTACCGTCCATGAGCAGGCTCAATCAAACCGAGCCTGCAACATTTTCAATTTTGCCGTGTTGGGCTTTCTTTAGGGATTCTGTATTTATCTATTTAATAAAACTGAGCCTGCAACATTTCATAATTTTGCTGTTTAGGGTGTTCTTTTGGGATTCAGGTTTTCTCTATTTTAAGGGGAAATGACTCATGTTTACTAAATTATTTGTTCTTTCTGTCTAACTTAGGTATTTCTTACTTTATTTGTTGTATAAAATTTACCAGTTGTAAGGTCATCAAAAGCATAGAGACCCTGAGGAGTGAATATTAATAGATTTTTATTTTACTGGCTTATAGACTGGATTTTTTAGTTTGTTCAGTTAGTACAAACCTGGGTATTCTGCTACCGGGATCTTCTAATCACTATGTGAAACTAATTGTTATTTTCTATGTGTTTGTATATAAATTGTTAATAAAATAACCTTTGATAAAAATGAAAGGTAGAAAATTAAAGCTATGCATATATAATATTTCTGTATTTAAAGAGTTACTGTTATGACATTATTATTAAAGGGATGAGACTTTCATTTAAAGTTATACATTAAAATACATGTATTGATTGAAAATGTCCTTAAACTAGGATCAAGCAATATACCTATTTAAATCTCAAAAATCATATAATGAAACGTTATTCTAATTTTTTTCTAACATGTGCATAGTTTGAAAAGGACAGCTTCTGTCTTATCTATTTGTTATGGAGGGACACAGGTCTCAACCTCCAGGTCTCCAGAGTCAACCCAACAACAGACTTTTCATGAAGTAGATTGTTACTTGCTCTTGAATAAATTTGTGCAGTAAATTTTATAGTGGGTGATTTGTGCCACTTTGTCCCAACAAAGTACAAAATGTAACCGGGCGCCAGATGAAAACATGAAAATACAATCTACTACAAAATGGTTCGTTTTTTGCGTTTTCATGTTTTCGCCCAGTGCCCCTGATGCAAAATACAAATCAGCCTTCATAAAATTTCTTATCATAGAAAAAAGGTTAGTTTTTTATCTGTACAAATAAATAGATATTGTTCATGTATTAGTATAGTTATGTTCACTTTCAAATTGACCTGTTATAGATTAAGACTATGAGTATGTAAGGTTTTTTTCTTATTTGTTTAATTAAGAATTAATCTACCTAGCTGTTAATTTAAAAATCTAAAAGTATCTGTCATAGTTTAGATCTGTTTACTAGAAAATGTGTAAGCGGCCAGACAGCTCAATAGCTACATCCGCGGTACATTATTCTGTGGGTCACAGGTTCGAGTTCTGGTCAAGCTGAAAGTTTTTCTCATCCTGATTGATAAAAATAAGGATAAGAGCAAATTACAAAAAACTTATATTGATTATCTCTCTATACAAAATTCTTCTTAAACAAGTATGATAAAGAACATAATTTATCAGTCAACTTTCTTAAAAAATCAACAAAACTTTTTATAATACCTAGTGGAGAAATATTTATTATGTTATTTGAATAAAATGCAATCTTTGAAAGATGACCTTTTTTAAGGATAAATAAATATTGATGAACTTCTATTATTAGTCCGGCGTCATTTAAACACAGTTGTTCGATAGAGCTAAAATTTAATGCATATCATAACAACAGGCGTGACTGTTTCATAAATTTCTTTTCGTTTAGATAATACAATACCAGATGAGATTGCAAGCGATCCGAGAACAAGAGAACTCTATGAAAAGGCACTACAGAAAGGCACAGAAAAAGACAACATAATTCGAGTAATGGTTATTGGTTGTTTTGGACAAGGCAAAACGTCATTAGTAAGGAAATTATTGAAACAATCAATTGAAGGAGTTGAAACAACAAACGGCATTGATTTGCATAGATGTACAGTTATCAACGATGGTGACTGGAAAATGTCAAACAATAAAGATCTCAATAAAGAAACAGTTCAACGCTTGGTAAATATTGCACTTAAAGAAACAACGTACCATACAACTTCTTATGCTTCCCATGGAGAAAACTGCCTTCCTTACAAACATAAATTAATACCTAGTTCCGCAACGGATATCTCAAAAACAACGGATGAAAGTTTAACATATCAAATGAGTGGTATCCAAAAAAATGATAAATCTAATGAGTACGAAGGCAAAGGAAGAGAAAACGTTAAAACAAACAGATCTCAAATTGCTGGCGCTGCTGAAACATTAGCTAAGAATAAAAAAGTCAATTACGAAAACTTAAATTCATTCAAGACTGAATTAGAAATTGTCGAAACAATTCAGGAGGAAATAAAACTTGAAAACAATGTCACACTAAATATTTGGGACTTCGGAGGAGAGTTTGTCTATTATGCAACTCATCAAATATTTCATTCAAAACAAGCTGTTTATCTGCTTGTATTTAATCTAAGCATAGCCCTGGACACAATTATCGAAGATAAGGAGTTCCCATTACATCAAAAGAAAATGAGGGATTATTTAAAATTCTGGGTGACTTCTGTAAGCTCTTTTGTTGGGAGTAGGGATGGAATGGAACCCGCTATTGTTTTAGTGGGAACCCACACGGACAAATTGAATGCGAGAAGCAATAGTGAGGACTATTTTGAGCATGTAAGGAAAATATTTGACCACAGTGTATGCCTTAATCACATTCAATCGGATCAATTTCCAATTTCAAACACAAATGGGTCAGAAAGCGAATTTGATGCATTACGATCGTATATTACACGTTTAGGACAAAGACAATTGGAAACAAGAATTCCGGCTAAATGGATTCTCCTTGAGACGGCTCTTAAAATGAACAAACAGAAAAAAATAATAACAATAGATAAACTTCTAGAAATAGACAGTCATACTGATAGTCCGTTACAAACTGACAACTCAAAAGAAACCATGGACCAGATCAAACTGTTTCTGTCATATCATCATGCAAAGGGTACATTCTGTTATTTTGATGAGGACAATTTGTCAAACCATGTTGTCTTAGATCCACAATTCCTTGTTGACGCTTTCAGGTGCGTAATTACATCAGAAAAGTTTTGCAAAGTGCGCCCAAAAATGAGAAGCGTTTGGGAAGAATTGTGTAACACCGCAATTATACGTGCAGAGCTTTTTGAAGAGGTTTGGAGACAAGAAAAAGATAACAGTTTCTATAAGTTTAAACAGCTATTGATAGAGTACATGCAAAAACATCATATTATAGCGGAGGCCCTAGCTTATGAGCTTGAGTCTGAGCCGGTCGTAAAAGGATTAGGGTATTTCATTGTTCCAAGTTTACTCAAGATTTCAGCCGATGATGACACTATGAGGTCATATTTGGAAGGAAAACCATTGTCAACCGTTTCTTTGTGCTACAAGTTTGAACATGAAACGATGGCGCCCTTTACTTATCAGGCCTGTTTGGCCGGTATTATTGGACGATGGCCACTTGCAAAGCTCGACAACACCTATGTTTTGTTTGATAACGTAACTGCATGTGAAATAGAGCGAGAACACGCTGGTGTATTGATGCTGACGGAAAATAAACTCGAGCTTCTCGTTGTTAGTCTTTGTCCTCCCGACAATGTCAAAGCTGATGTCTGTGATATGTTTCGCCGATATGTAGAGGCAGTTATGATGAAATGGATGCGTAAATTAAATGCAAATAAGCATGAGGGACAGTTTTTCAGTCTTGCTGCGAGGTGTTTGCATACAGATCATGGAACAGGGGGAAGTAGTGGAACATTACCTATTGACAATATACAATCATGTAATTATGAGAAAATACGATGTCCCGATGGAAGAAGTCACTGCTTACAGGTACGCAGTATTGTGAAGGAATGGTTCATGACGGATTTTAAACAAGATAATGTTCCGAAGAGAAAGTTATCAGAAAAAGAGTACAGCACTCTGGCAATGGCAATTGGAAACGGTTGGGAGCTGCTTGGATTGCAACTTGGTCTTGATAACATAACTTTAGATCATATTCGAATGGATAAAGATAATACTGCAGCGCGCATATATGAAATGTTTTTGAAATGGGATATCAAGGAAGGAGACCAAGCTACCCTAGACGTTATTGTACAAGCGATAGAAAACTGCAACTTGGAAAAAGTACATGTTAATTTGGATCTTTTAAAGAATATTATCAGCGGGTTCTGAGCCTATGAATTCGTTAAGTGTGTCTTACAAACGAGATAACGGTTCAGGTCGTCCATAAAAAAAAACAAAGAAATAAAAAAAAAACAACAACAAAAAAACAACATGAACTTGTTTTTTGATAGAAACACAATTGTGTTGAATTAAAAAAAACATATTTCATACTGCGTGATTAATTGTACAAATATAAAATATATTTTAATCTCTATCGTTGGAATTGATAACATACACATGACTCTTAAACACATTCAATGAACGTTTTAATATGTTTCATTTTATCTACATTTTAACTTCATTTTTTTAAATTTGTTTTGTTCTTGTTTTTCTAACATAAGCTGTGTAATAGAAAAATAACATGTTTCGAAAAATACTCAAATATGTTTGTTATCGTTGTTTTGTCGTAATACCAGTGTATAACTTGTGCTTTTCAAAATGAATATATTTTCCTTTGAGTGGAAGTTTCATTATATTTATTGGGTTGCATTTCAGCACTTGTGGAGATATTGGTAATTTCAAGTTGGATATCCAGGATGACTGTTGAATATAAACACATAATTGCAGTGCAACAACTAACTATTATGCTAAAGTTATTAAAGATTTTAATCGAGAAATACGACATAAAAACAAAATGCAACAATTAGTTTTTAATGCGCACGCATAAATAACAGTTTTACGATGTATGGTCATTGAATTTGAGTCTCAATCTATTTTGAAATTGAGAAAATCCAATACAGCCAGTATATAATTATGATGCTTCACCCAGTGAATATGATTTCATAAATAGTTCTGTTCGACCAATGAGATTGCAGCCGTCATATAATAATTCAGAAATAATATCCGTCTTAGCAATGTTTATCGACTATTTTACACAGGTTTGCCGATAAACACCACTCAGACCTATATTATTTCGATCCTAACACGATAAAATAAGGAAGATCCCCTATGTTATTTTTAAGCGGAGAATACTTCCGGTGCCGATTTAGTATTACGCTGTTCGATTTCGCACCCTTATTTTATCAAGTTTTTAACTATAAAAACTTTCGTCCTGGATCGGATTGTATTGTGTTTATATCAATGTTTGATTTATCATTCTTGTATGTTTGAGATGTCGTCATTAGAGCTCGTATATAAATGAGTTGTATACTTAAGATGACTGACGTCATAACGCTGCTTACGAATTAGGGCCGTTTTGTCAAAAAAATTATTAACTGATATTGGACCAAACATGTGACATTGTGTATGTGAGATATTATTTCAGTATTGTATGAAAAGAACACATTATAAGAATAAAGATGCATTTTTATTGTTGCTTTAAAAGGCTTTGTAAACTATATAATCGAGAGAGAAAACATAACAGCCGCATATACAAATAGTACACCCTAATGAGTGTTTATTGGCAGTTAAACACATTTTTTCTTCTTTGTCTATAGTGACAAAATCACGAGGAGTATTAAAATTAATATTGTGCAATTATTGGATAAAATGTAACATAAATGTACTTGTAAATAATTCCTGTCAATGTTTTAAGTGAGAAATTGTTATGTTTAATTTTCACAAACAAGAACCATTTAATATTTCAGAATGTGGAGGTCAAAATGAATATGTACAACCGTCTTTGGTGTCAGTATCCAGAAACTTGATAAGTAAGTTGCTTTGTTGTCTACTTAGACCTTTTTCTTATAGAACGAGTCTTAATATTGAATCGTTATTGGTGGATGGGAGGAAGGCTGGCATGCAGTTAAATCTTAAGCATATGAGCTATATAGCAATATCCAAATGTTTCCCGTCATTAGACGCAGTTTCAAGCAAATGAACCAGATCAATTATATCACACTTCGAAATTAGGAAGAAAACCATATCTGTAGCCAAACATCTACATTTATCAGAGTATTTTGAAATTATTTGACACAAATGTTCAAATTATTACATGTACATGTATTATGCTGAGAATTGCTCGCAAAGAGTTGTTCACTTAGGGCAAATAAAAATATAAAACTTTGTTATTTATACATTTGTAGTTAATAAGATCATTCTCCAAGTTTTCATATAATGAGACTTGATTGCCAACAAAATCAAGGTCAAAATTTGAGAGGTCAATGTCAAAAAGATGATAAAATGTACAGATTCTGTTGTACATGTATGACCAGCTTTTGATATAACTTGCTAAATGGGTTTGCGCGAATAAAGCTAGTCTCTTTGTTAAGGTTACACTTAGTCAGAAAAATGTTTTTGCTGGTTATTGAGACTTGATCTGAGGGATTATACCACATATGTTCACAATCGTGATATTGAGCATGACAAGCATAATTCAGGTCAATGTCACCAAACATGATGAAGTGAAAAGATTTTGTCCGGTGAATATCTTTTTATGCATGAAGGGATCTCAGTATTTATAGTACTTGACATGAAGCAGTATTTTAGTCAAAGGTCACATTTAGAGGTCGCATGTAATCTAAAATTTCATTTCTAAGTTGTAATAAATGTTCAACATTGTAAAACATAATATTCAATTAAGATTTCTGAAGCCAAGGTCATTTGAAGTCAAATTCAGATGTCGGAATACAGGCAGGTGACTATCGACTATTTTTTCATCTTGAATAAAGGCATTTAATAAAACTGTTCACCATGAAACACATTGATTATTTAGCAAAGTATTTTGGAACAATGTTACGATTGCTATTTTTATATGTTTTAAGTGATGACGCAGAACTTTTTGAAGGCTTATCAGGTATTCAACAGTCAAGTGGATGCGAATGTTTATAAGACGGCAAAAGAAATGTTCAAGGCATGTAAAGCTATAGTCTTAACAGGGCCTAAGAAATGTGGTAAAACTTCTATAGCTGTTGCATTGTCATCTGCCTATGAAACGGCACAATGTCTACTCCTCAACAAACCAAACAATCTCATCTACATTGACTTTAAAAACATCTGCTTGGTTATCATTGATGAGTTTGCTGGGAAGTATCGTTACGATAAGAATGAAGTGTGCGAATGGTACGAAACGTTTGATCATCTGTACAGAGCAGTTATAGCAGGGAAATTGAACGTGTTAATAACGTGTGAAAAGGGTAAACTAGAAAAATGTATCAACGAAATCGGACGGCATGCCATTCTTGACCACGTTGTGGAAATACCTTTACAAACAACTGTCGTTAAATTGGAGGTTACTGAACGTAAGTTGAGCCTATCGCGTAGTGTAATATATCGTAACATCGCTGTATTGCTTTCAATACTTATTTTTATTTAATAATTAAGTTACTCCATCTGTGACTGTTATGTCATGTCAAGGTGAAGATCGAAAATTATACAGATTAAAATAAATGACGCTTATGTCGATTCTGGCGGAAATAAAGTTTGTCTGTGATGCATGCTGTTGAAGGCATATATTTTGACAATTGTCAGGTTTCTTGTATAGTGTATAGTAATTTGATATTCTTTAAAGATATACAATGGTGTTTGTATTGAGGATTGCATTTCTCATTTTCTCTTAAACGTAGGACTAGATTATGGACATGTTTATGGACCGATAGACACTACAGATCATTCTATAGGCACCATATCAAATATCACAAAGTCTAAGAACTACCCACCACCATTGTCAGTGATTCCGGCACACGTGTCAATCATGCCGTCAAGTCATGACACGATTCCGGTTTCTACAGGAAATACTTCACTCCTTGGTAGATCACAAATGGAAGGTATGTCTAACATGAACGATCTTAAATATAAAGCATTAAAGTTACCAAACAATATTAATTATCATAATGAGCTTCCATTATTCCTCGGTGAAGGCAGCGGAACAGAAGCATCATTTGGCTTTGGCGCTGTCCGCGTCACATCTGTCCGTAAATAGTCCATCAATTTTGAGCTCGACTATTTGAGGAATATGAGAGCTATTGAAGTCGCCCCGGCGTCGGCGTCCGCGTCTGCGTTGGTTAAAGTTTTTTTGTAAAGTCAAATATCTCAATTAATGCTTGAGATATTCAATTGAAACTTACAATACTTATTAATAGTAACAATGTACATCAGACTGACAAGTTGGATAACTCTGCCTACAATATTAATAGAATAATGCCCCTTTTTAACTAAGAAATTTTGGTTAAAGTTTTTTTGTAAAGTCAAATATATCAATTATTGCTTGAGATGTTAAATTGAAATTTACAATACTTTTTTTTATAGTAACACTATGCATCAGTTTGCAAAGTTGCATAATTCTGCATGCAATATTTGCAGAATTATTTGCTCCTTTGAAACCTAGAAATTTTGGTTAAAGGTCTTCAAGATATTTACTTGAAACTTTACACATGTACCTAGATTCATAATTAAAGGTCACATCTCTCAAGATTCATTTCTCTGCCATGTATTTTGACTTAAATATGCTCCCTTTTGTACTAAAAAAATCTCTTTTTCTTCGTTTAGTTTAACATGCGTTTGGCATAGTTGTGAAACTATTAAAGATACAAACTTAAAACTTCATATGTATATTTGTGTTCATAAATAATGATCACTGAATAGCACTCTTATCTGTGTCATGTATTAAGGCTGATTTATCTCCCCCAATTTTACTTAGTCTCTTGGTTAATGTTTATAAATATGTAAGTTTTACATATCTCAATAACTTTTAAAGATATTTATTTAAAACTTCACATATGCATTTATGGTCATTATTATTGGTCACTGACCAAAATCCATAATTCTATCTTGCATTTAGGCTGATGTTTCTCCCCTTTTTTAATTCATGATAAAGTTTTGCTTGTAAGCTGTTATCTCCATACCTACTGAAGGGATTGTGCCTTTTTTGGGACAATTTTATGCATTCATAATAATAAAGCAGTGATTTACTTAAAACATCTTAATAGCAAGCCTTTGTACCTTTTCGGTCAATTTTATGTATTCATGGGTCAGCATTATTATACTCAATAAAACACCCTTGTGGCAATTTTTTCGAATAGTTGAGCTTTACTGTCATCGGACAGTTCTTGTTAATTTAATCATTACACTTCAGCTAATTTAGTTATAAATCTTAAACTCCGACGCCGTATGTAATGTAGGTCCCGTAGGATGACATCAAAGGTCTGATAAAGATATAAAAATGTGTGTATGGACTACCTTATAGCTTCTAAGAGATCTTATTTCAAATGTTAAAAACTGAGACTTGGTATTGTCTACGTGGTGTATGTATCTTTACAAACATCTGTCGTTAAATCAGAGGTTACTGAACGTAAGTCGAGCTTCTCGCGTAGTGTTATATACCATAACTTTGTTTTGTTGCTTTCAATTAGTATTTTATCAGATGACTTTCTCTTTCACTGCTTTAATGATTATGTGACTAAATGATCGGTTATTTCATTTGAGGTTAAGACGGAAAATATACACATTTAAATTATGAATTTTTCGGTAATTAAAGTTACGCTAGAATTATCTAAATAAGGTATGCTATTATTTGATTATGATATTTACAGAGAGAACCAAACTTTTTACACAAAAATTCCATACAGGTACCATGCTCTGTGTCTATTTATATTTCCAGATCTGAAAGTTTACTTGAAAAGCTTTTATTCAAAATTAGCAACTTTTAACAATTTCTGCTGCGATTTAGAGGGATTGGAAAATTTATCATTTCAAATCGGGCCGACGTTTGAAAATCAAGATATGAAACACAAAAAAGTCACAGCCTTGAATCAAAATGAGGCATTGATTAAGATTCTGCAGATGCCTAACTACCGGCAAATTTTTATCTTGGCAACAGACACAGCAGCATCTGCAAACCTTATTGTTAGCTCCTGGTTAAATTTTGCCGACACTTTCCGCCCCAAGAAATTGGATACTCCAGATGGAGTTTTCTTGTTACAAATAACAGATGCTGATAATGTTTTTGATTTAAATATTATGTTGGAGGAGAGATTTGAAATGAAAGAGTTATATTACACTAAAAATATTCTCATTATCTTTGAATATATTGACACAGATCATTCGAAATTGAAAGCAATTTATGATTTGGCCTGTTCTTGCAAGTTAATTACATGCAAGTTTATCATTATCACAAAGATCGATAAACCGGCTGTACTTGATTTGAAACTAGATATTGAGTTTGTTCTCATTGCTAGTAAAGATAATGCATTGCAAATATCTAGTAAATACGGGGAAGTATTGGTAGACATAGATGGACAAAAGTTGAGCAAATGCATCGATCAAATAGTATCAAAGAGAAAATGTACTTTATGGCAGAAAGACGCAATTACAAAAATCTGTTTTGAGAATATTCATCCGCTAAATAAAGTTGCAACGATACGCGTTCCAAAAGATATTAAGATCATAAACTTTGACAGATGTAGTCACAATATTCAGGTAATGCACTATGCAAATCATTTAGATATATCAGAATATCAACCGAATATGAATCCTCTACCAGAAAACATTTGTACACCAACTTTGAAAACTATTGCTATACATTTTACAATATCAAGTCACATCTTTTACAATAATGTATATGAGCAATTTGCTTATGAGATATCTAAAGCAACTCATATTGAAACGTTGCTCTTGTGTGATATGAAATTTGGGAAGAAATATATCACTGTTGAACTTCAAAAAGAAGAGATTGGACAAATCAGGCGTTCTATAGAGTCAAAGGAGGACTATTACCGTTTTGGAGCTCGCATATTAGGTCCGCGTCTAAGGTGCATTTCGTTTGACAAAGAAGATGTTCAAGCTGAAAACAAAAATTTAATGGTAAAACAAATAATGATAGATTTGATATGCTATGTACTTGTGAAAACACACAGTTCTGTATCAGAATGCTATCCTTCGGAAATGGAAAATGGTGCGATTAAACTGATTTGCTTCGTAAACGATGAAGTTCGGATAGATTCCTTTAAAGGATTCCCTCTTTTAAAAAGAGATTACAACTGCACCAGTAAAGAATCACTATTAGCAGAAAATTCATGTGACAGAGAAGACAGTACCATAATAAAGGCAACAGAGGAAGAATTTGTAGATATCAATGAAACGCTCTCATTCCATGCAGAAGCTCTTATGACATCTCATAGAAATTTGGAGGCTGTGAAAGTTAGTTTTGTCCAGCCTAAAGAAGTAAAATTAGGGCACTCAAAATTATGCATAGTCTTATATTGTAGAGCAAAAGGGTATAAACCATATGGCGATCCTTCTTTCCCTCAGAACCTTAACCACCCGTTTAAGTGCAAAACGTTTAGAACTGATGTTCGGGAAGGTTATTTCTCACCTAATAGTATAGGCCGCAGTACTGACTTCAACAAGACACTTGCGTTAGGTTGTAGTATTGGAGAAGTTAATGGAACATGTGCTGCGACTTTAGGGCCATTCGTTAATATTAAAGAAACAAACGAAACATGTTTTCTGACAGTTCGACATGTATTTGTTCCTACTTCACGTACAGACCAAAGTCTTACCGGAGTAAAAGTCGTTCAACCGGCTGACGTTCATTTGCCACCCGGTGCCGATGGAATGCCTGATCGACAATGTGGAGAGGTTATAGGCAGTCAGACAGGAGGACAGATCGATGCTAGTATAGTAAAGATATCTCCTGAAAGATTACCGAAAAGTGGTCAGTTTATACGATTGACAAGAGAAGATTTAAATATTGCAGGTAACATCTTAGTGAATTAAACAAACTATTGTCGTTTTGCTTATTGTTTACTTTAGCTGATTTAGTTTCCTTGAAGCCTAAAAAAATAATCTCCTGATGCATTTCCATACGACAAAAGAAACCGTTGATATTATGGCACAGAAATATCATAATTAAACGCCCCTTTGATAAATGGGTCGTATTATAGTTTTCCCCCTGACGGGCCCCTGGCTCCTGCTGGACGGGCGGCGTCCAATTTTTGTACGGAGCATATCTCCTACACCCATTGAGGAATTTTAATGAATATTCATAGAAATGCACATCACTATGAGAAGCCGTGTCGCTTGCATAAACCAGGCCTCTAAGGTCAAAGGTCTTGGTCACACTTAGAGGTCATTGAACAACGTTTGTACGGAGCAAAACTTCTACATGCATAGAGGGATTTTAATATAACTTGGCAAAATTTGTTCACTATTGTAAGGCGAAGTGTCGAGTGCAAAATTTAGGTCCCTGTGGCTAAGGTCACACATAGTTCAGATAAAAATATGAAAATGTGTATTGGAACCATTTAGTCATCATTTATTGAGGGATTAAATCACAAATGGTCATTATCTTGACTACTGGTGTGAAACATGTAATTTAGATTAATATATTTAAGGTTTAGGTCACTAAAGATGATTGCCAAGATCACTAAAGATGATAAAATATAGATATTTTGTCCAGAGCATATCTCCTACACATATGGAGGGATTCTAATAAAACTTCATACAAACTTTCATCACTATGATAATTCGTGTCGTGCGCATGAACCAGGCCTCTTGATCAAAGGTCAAGATCACATTTAGAGGTCATCAAAATGCTTGTACGGAGCAAAACTTCTACATGCATAGTGGGATTTCAATATAACTTGGCATAAACGTTTAATATTGTGAGGCGGAGTGTTGAGCACAACCTGCGTCCAAAATCAAGGTCGCACATAGGGGTAAAGCTCAGATAAAATATGAAAATGTTTATAAGGACCATTTGTCATCCTTTATTGAGGGATTGACTACTGGTGTGAAACATGTAATTTAGGTTCATATATGCAGGGTCAATATGACTAAAGATGATGGTCAAGGTCACTGAAGATGATAAAATATAGAGATTTTGTCCAGAGCATGTTTTCTACAGATACGGAGAGATTGAAATGAAACTTCATACAAATGTTCACGACTTTAAGAAGCTGTGTCCCGTGCATGAACTAGATCTCTAGGTCAAAGATCAAGGTCACACTTAGAGGTCATTTAAAAGTGCTTGTCCTGAGCATGACTTCTACATGCCTAGGATTTCAATAATACTTGACACAAATGTTCGCTATTGTGAGGAAGAGTGTCGCGCGCAAAATCTAGGTCCATGCAGGTCAAGGTCACACATAGGGGTCAAAGTTCAGATAAAAAGCACATGATAATATGTATATCCCTATATTTTCAAGTTATTGCCCAGAGCATATCTCCTATATGCATATCTATAATGCCCACATCTCAAAGACAAAGACAAAAGCTTCTATGACGGGAGTATATTGCGACAATGTTGCCCTTGTTTTATCTATAATATGATCTGTTCAAATATTCTAAACATATTAGAAATTATGTTGTTTCTTTCTTTTCGACTATTACCAAATATGCTGTTTTACCTATCCTAGGATTAACGGAGCAACCAGTGTACAACGACGGGAAGTTTCTGGATGCAAAGTCTTTAACAGTAAAAGATCAAGCCACGCGAAGAATCATCAAGATTGGCTGTACAACCTCTCTTACAAAAGGAACTCTGTCAACAACAGATGGATGTGTTAAGGAAACATTGGAGTATTCTACATTAGAAACATTATACAATGGGAGTAGGGAAACATTTCTAATAAACAGTCAGTTTATGGTGGACTCTTATGTCAAAAAAATATTTAGCCAAGCTGGCGACTCTGGTTCTGGTGTGTTTTTGGTCGATGATAACAATCATTTACATTGTATTGGAATGCTTATTGGTGTCTTGTGTAACGACTTCACAGCTGTAATCACACCTATTGATAATATATTGAAGATTTTGGGCCATAATATTGGTAAAACATTAGAGTTAAAACAGTTCAGAGAAACGGATGAAATGGATGAATCTTAAACATATCAGAAAGTGTGAGATATGTTTACAATACATTTACCAACTAGCGACTAACATTAGAAATTACATTCATAATTGATATATGAAATAAATTTATCCACTGTTGGTGAGCACATTATAATGTTAAAGTGGCTTCTACTAAATTGTGAATGCCTTTAGATTTGCTTTGTTTAAGGTAAACCAATATTGAATCCTGAATATTATACACGTATTCTGTGGATATTTTGACTTATTTTCTATTAGTCGAATGTTGCTTGCGAAACGTGAATATCCTTATCACCTGTGATTAGATATGAAAGTGTCATATTGAAAGTTCACATAGTCGAAAACTCTTGTCAACAAATATTGCTTTATCAAACTTAAACACACCAGTTTTTTATAAATTGATTTCTGCTGTAATAGACATTGCTAAGAAAACTTGAGTGATAGCGTGTATCATAACGAAACACGCACCGTCAGATCCAGTCTGATACATATAAAATTTAGACGTGCTTTAGGACCTTAATTATTCTCTTCACTCTCAATTATATCTTATTGATTTTTAGCTCACAATAACCTAAACCTTTTATTCGAACAAACTTGGTAGACATCCACTAAGAGATGTTTCCTGCCAAGTATCTAAGCTCTAGCCCTTTTTTTTGTTTTTTTCCAAAAGAAGATATTTTATGTTTTTCTTATGGTTGCCTTAGCAAACCAGAATTCTGCATGGAATTAAATTCTTTATACAATTTTAAAGGTGTCCACCGAAGGAACATGCCAGTGAAGTTTAAATGAAATTTGTTCAGCGGTTTATGCGATCACAAAAGCTCACTATGTCACTTTGTGACAGGTGAGCTAAAAATAAAAAAAGCTTACATACCCTTCATATTTTAAATGGACATGTTTCCCTAACAACAACATTTTTTTCTTCTCCAGTATGAATAGGAAATTAGAAAGCGTGAGTTAACATGCTTTATATACTTGCCAGATATACATTGACAATGATATTGTTCGTCAAAGCTATTTCTAAAAAGGTTCCTTTTCCTATTATGAAGAAAAATAAAACAAAAACAATCAGTGACGAGAAACTACATAGCCAGAAGGGTAAGTTAAAGTTGAGCTTGACTTGCCTTTCGACTTGCTTTTCGGCAAGTTTATTTGATAAAAATTCTAGCACTGACAGTTGTTTTTGGTGAGCGGTTCAGGCCAATCATTGCCTCTTGTTTTGTTTACTAATAGTATTACTATTTTTGCATGTTTTAAAGTGTATTTATTACATTAATATTAACGTTTAATTAATGCTGCTTATTTGTACTTTATCAAGATTTCATTCCTTAAACCTACAGACAATCTTTTAACTTTTATCTGTCACATTTTGTATATGAATAAATTTACTTTACTTTACACCATAGGAACTCGGGAACGGGACTGCATATTGCGGCGCATATTTTCGATCATGTAACATTATTAAGGAATGTCTCCCCTACATCTTTGCTATGCTATGCTTGATCATTATTATTGGTGTCAAATATCAAGTATAATCCAGATACGACAACTTAAATGGTTTATTGTGTGCCTGTGTTGACATGTATAGGTCTATAGACGGTATTATAGCGATTGAATTTGTGTTTAAAATTGTCGACAAGAAAAAAAAAGAAATTCGAGTAACATGGTCCAAATGGTTTTGTTTAGATGAAAGGAAAAAGAATATGCACACATAAATAGATATATGCCACGAGGGGTACTCACCTGATATTTGTTGCTAATAAAGGCCAGAGTCATTCCGTACACTAGATCAATGATTGACAGAAATGCATAGGCATTTTTAATCAAGGGCCATAATTCATTTACATGTAGTGCTAGTCACCGTCCAAAGGCTTGATGCTTAATAATTTCGGATGTATGTAGGTGTTATCTCACTTACACCCAAAACATATTGTATCATTGAAATTTTGCTAAATATGGAGTTATATGTTTCCCAGGGTGATATAAGAAATATTCCCCGGTGAATATATTCTTCAATCAGGACACATGATAGGCCTATGGGAGTTTTACATTGAAAGATATATTGAGGTATAATAAAATCAAATATAAATGCTTGTTCAAACAATGCCAAGTGAAAATACCATTACAAAACCGTATATAATATAGGGCTAGTAACATAATAACATGCCATAATAAAATAAAATCACACACTGAACTTAGACTGAAATATTTGGACAGTTCTATTTATAAAATATTAACTGAAATTAACACAAGCCATGTGGTTAATTTAGACTGAAATATACATAAAAATGAAATGACATCTTTTCTTAATTTATTTTAGTTCGATTGTGTAGAAAGCTATGACCTTATAGACACAATTTCGAATCCGTTCCTGGAACAAACCAGTACTGAGCAATGAGTGTAAAGTTTCTTACTCAAGGAAAGGACGACTTGCCCCTGACGGGGTTTGAACCTATGCCGCTAGCGATCATGAGATTACTTTTTCTTTTACCCTTTTCCGTCTTTCTTTCTTTAATTTTTTCATCTAGGGTACATTATTTTTGTCATAGTTAAGTTTTTTGTTTTTTATGTACATGTACATATATTTTTTCCTTTTGTAGATTGTACATTTTTAGTACCCTTTTGTTACATTCAAAACTTTTTTTAATTGGATTTTTCAGTTTAAGCATGGTTTGAACGCTAGGGTAACTAGGATAACTATGTGTCACAGGTGTACAAATTTACCTATATCATCCCTTTCTCTCCAATATATTAATACTGTATGCCGTTATATTGTAAATCGTCGACTTAACGTGATTTACAATAGCGCTATCTCTTTACTATTCTTTTGTTATTTAAATGATTTTCTATGACGTATATAAGTTAGTTTAACAATATATTTTTAAAAGAAAATAAGATTGTACTGTGTACGTTGGGGTTTTATAACCTTAACTTAAATCATTAAATTAATTATAATAAATAAGAATATATTATGTTACTTATTCCCTTCATATGTTGCATTTGTAAATTGCTTACATCTAATGTTAATTGACGTATATTATTTGAATTCTAAGACCAGTTCTTAGAATACATTTTTCATTGTGTAATATGATGTCGCCTATTTTGTACACGTATGTTTACATTATTTAAATGCAATACAATTAAACAATATGTTTTTAAAAGAAAATAAGATTGTACTGTGTACGTTTGGTTTTTATAATCTTAACTTAAATCATTAAATTAATTATAATAAAGAAATATATTTTGCTTAAGACGGAAGATGTTTTTGATTCGTCATCCCCTGACCCCAGATTTACAAAACTTTACCGTTGAGACGGTCCAGTGCCCTAGATAAAAGAATGACGTCTGGCGCCTCTGCGACATTGGCGCCCAACAGGTTACCCTGATGGTATACGCTCCGAGTCCAATTTCACATTGTTCTCTATACCAATTAGAAATTCGAGGACGAATTTCAATATAGCGCGGGAGTATGTGACGGTTTAGAACTGTTCACCTTTTAGGGGAGAAGATGTGTAAGCGGCCGGATAGGTTAGTTGGTAGGGCCGCGGTACGGTATTCCGAGGGTCCCGGGTTCGAGTCCCAGTCAGGCTGCACATTTTTCTCACCCTGTGACATATTGGTTACTAAACTACTGATTTAAATAGACGAAATTACTTACTACATCTTGATGACTCTGTAAAAATATATAATTAATGAACAATATCATTCCAAAAAAAACAGTAAGTGTACTTTTTAGAATTTGTATATGTAGTAAGAGGAATTCCATGATATTAACGCATGACCGCCACAACTTTTCTATGATGATCGACGTTTTTTAAATTTCAGTATTGGAAAACTTTGAGGTGCTCTAAATTAAGTATCAGTACGCTTTTGGGGAGCTCTTAATAAGGTAGCAGTATACTTTCCGGTTTATTATTTTATTTCAAATAATAAAGTGAGCATACCTGAAATAAGCAAAACAAAAACATCACACAGTTGACAGAACTTTTTTGTTTTCAAAAAATATATACATATCATCTCGATCATCTTTTTTTAAAAATGCAGTTATTATAAAGATGTTGACTCCAGTGAAAAGTAATCGCCATTTTGCATCCTGACCTCCATGACAAATCTGAAACAATGATCAAATTATTCATTTTTTGCTTTAAACAATGCTTTCGTTTTACAGTAGATTCTGACCATTAAGCCATTAAATAAGTCATGACACATATGAACATAATATTCCAGCCTAATTATTAAAAGATGGAAGTAGTGTTAAGTAAAAATTACATTTTCGTTAATTACAAGATATACCTCTGAAATATACACCGAGTTTCTTATGTACAATATTTTCTAGATTATATTTTGAAAAAAGCTGGAAATGTGATTAAGGATAACTATGTGTCACAGGTGTCATTTTTCGCATTAAGCAAAAAAGCATTAACTTACCTCGTCAAATGGTTATTTAAGTCCAGTTCCTTCAACACTTGTATTCCAGGCAGGCACGCCTCAAGTGTATTGTAAGCCCATTTTGTGTTACGGGCTAGCGCAACAAGATCAAGCCTTACTCTTTTTATCAATTAAAGGTTTCCTTCCTTCTTGAAATCTTGTCAAAGTCGAACAATTGGAAATTGCCGAAATAGTCCTATTGTACAGTATCTACAAAATTATCTATTTGACCACCTTTTAGTACACCTATGCCATTAAAAATCCACCACGCCCAATTTTACTTAATGTCTGCGGAAGGAATAAAACAACCTGTGTAACTTTTTTTACTATTTAACGTAGTATCTTAAAAGTCCATATATTTGTGCCGCAGTGCAAAAGACAAGAATTTGGCACTGAATAAGGAAAATTGCAAGGGTTTAGAGCAAACAGCGTGAATCGTTCATTTTTCCAGTGGTTCACTATTACTTTTGAATCGAAGGAGCAAAGGCATCTAAAGGGTGTATTTCTATGTGTATTTCTAGAAATATTTATATGTTTAAATACAGTGTAACTTCTGAAAACCGAACACCTGTGGGACTAGCCAAAAAGTTCGGAATTTGGAAGTTTTCGGAGTTCAGAAGTTCAAAATTATCTGAACATGTAGAAATATAAATCATTTGTTTAAGTAAGACATGATGAAAATTATGAAAAGCTGATTAAATTCTTAAAATAGCAAAATTACAGGACTAAAATGTATATTAAATTTCATAATCGCCTATAATTTAATTTGTTGATAAAAAAGCATAATGATAATTATCAAGTTTATTTCATGTTATACTTAGAGGATATTGAATGGGTGTAAGTTCAATACTGAATTTATTGCACGCCACAGGCTCGCATAATATAATTTTATTCAACGAGTGCAATAAATTCAGTAATGAATTTACACATTTAATATTCTATTTATCACTTACCCAAAATAGAGACAGTTTAGAGTGAAATAAGAGTCATTTAGTACGCTAACATTTAGCACGTCTTTACACTATGTTTGTATAACGCTAATGACGTCACGTCAAAATATATACACGGCCGTGCAATACCATATTTACGGAGTCGCAAAATCTGCACATGTGTGTGATTATAAGAATCTTACACAGACCGGAATATCTAGCTCGAGGATAACTGTTTACATCGATAACGAGGCTTTGAAGAGTTTCCGCTAAACAGTTACCCGAGAGTTATATATTCCCGTCTGTACCGACAGCCGGTGTTTGATTCTTTTTCTTGCATATTACATATTTAATTGTTTTTAGAACAGAAATTACGAAAACTGATATTCTTATTACGCACTTTTTTCTTAGAGTAGAGTATGAACTTACAATTAAATTCATACCGTACAATATGACGTCATCCTAAGAACGCAATTCATTCATAAAAGGCGCGTTGCAATGACGTCATTTAAATCACGCGACTTGTCTTACATTGGGGTGTGAGACAGAGTTTTCTAGCACCGGTGTAAACGGTAGGTAATCCTGGCTGACATGCAAGAAAAGGGCTATTTACATTTAACTTTTAATTTTCATCACATAATACGCTTTTCAGTTTCTGAATTTTCACACTTTAATCAAGTGTTTGACATGCTTGACAGGTTGTTTTCTAATAGATGTCAAGATAAATGGTTACTGCTAATTGGACGATACTGACATGAAATTTTTTGAAAATTTTATAATATTACTTCACACCTTTTTCAATGGTCGGATGTCCGGATTTTGGATTGATAAAGCCGGAATTTTACCAGAAAATCGTTCGGAATTCAGAATTTAGAAATTCCGTAATTCAGAGGTTTCATAGGCTACTTCAGCAAGGCACTCAGAAGGCACCAAACACAAACCGGGAATGGACACAAGGGCGGCAAAAGGAGAGGGACAAGTTATGAGTGAAATAATAAAAACAAAACGGGCTCATATGGGAATGAAAGGTACAAGGGCTACACAATATGTACAAGGGTAAAAAGGGGGGTCAAAAATGGGAGAAGGGGGTTTAAGGGTTGACAAAATACTTAACGTTTACGACAATGTAATAAGGTAGACATGACAAAACATGCAAACATTCAAAACAAGTAAATACAACTGTGAAACGTGTTTAAGGAACACAGGGGAGGTACCGCATTTTGGGAAAAAATCTTTGGTATTACACCACCCGGGGAATTTTAAAACCCCGTTTTAGGCCCCGCCCAAAACCCCATCTTAGTCCAAATATTTTTCCCATATAAAAAGACATTGTAAATAAATTTTAAACCCGCCAAATGAAATTCAACAATGGGAGGTAACCCCAGACGGGAAAATCCAAAAAAACATTAATATCTTTTAATATGTACAAAAAGGGAAAGGAAATGGACAATTAAACCAAAAGTTTAAACGATGCTTTTAAAAGGGCGACTGGGGAACAAAAAAAATAAAATAAAGGGGGTCCTAGGGAAAGGGGAACCTTTTAAAACAATTTTAGTCCCAAAAGGGCTTTTAAAAAATTACTACCATTAGTTTTGTCATATTTTCAAATTTGGAAAAAGTTTGAGTCAAAACCCCGTTTAAAGTTGGGGGAACACCAGCATGCAGTTATGCTAAAAATAATTGGGTCATAACCTCTTTTGATAAAGTTTGATAATTTTAGTGAAGACAGCAGAAAAATTACTATGACCCACAAAGTTTGTATACCACATTTTCATGGAAATCAGCATTGCTTATACCTAGACGTAAAAGCGTTTTTAAATTTTAATTAAAACTACATCTGAAATACGAAAGTAAAACACTGTAAAATATCTACGCAATTTATGATAGCGATAGCCTTATTTCAGAATGTTGTCAGTATCAAATAAATTGAGTTCATTAAAATTATCAACAAGACTGCATGCTCTGGCAAATCTAATAAACTGAGAAATATTTACCCGATATGAAGTAGCAAACCCCACATCTCAAAATTTTATAGAGTGGACAAAACCCTAAACCTAAATTTTACAGAGTGGTCAAAAACCCACACCTCAAGTTTATAGAGTGGACAAAACCCCACACCTTCAATTTTACAGAGTGGACAAAACACCACCACGGGCAAGATTTGATGGATTAAAATACATATAATATACATAAATCTTAATATAATATAACACGTTATTTTTTTTTTTTTTAAATTTCATTTTTTTTTATTTACGCCATCACGTCATATAGTTGGTACCCAGTACTGTGCACGCTGGTATTTCACTGAAACAACGTAAAGGGCTTAAATTCAAAACAGTGAAATTATCAAAGTGGTAGTTTCACTGTTTCAAACAGTGAAATTACCAGTTTTATATCACTGATATATTTCTATAAACCACCGAAAAGCATGTACATATTTCAAATTAAAAGGCATGATAAAATAAATATCTGTAAAGCGCCGATCACTATGGCAACATGATCAACGAATCACGGAGCACTTTGATTTAATAACCATAGCTACTCGAATAGTTTGTTGCTAAAATTTGTAATTTTAACGCAAACTCTCCTTTTAATTTTGTGACATCATATGATACTATTACAATGTACATGATATTTAGTGTAAATTATGACGTCATTCGTAAATAAAAAGCTTGGGAACGACAATTATAGGCAATGAAGGTGCGTAAATTTTGTGTTGCAAAAATTACGTCAAATTCACTTACGGAGCAACGTAATGATATTTAACTTCATAGCAACGCTAATTTAGCGCCAACTGAGATTTAAATCTTTACTTTTAAAAAAAATCAACCATAAAATGTTAAAGGCAACTTGTGTTTAAATGTCAAACAAGATTAAAAAGCGGTCATG